TGAGCTCCGTTTTCACTGGCAGAGGCACCGCGGGCCAGTCCTTCACAGTTTCCAGGTCAGCCCCATGGGCCAGATCTAAGCACCCCACGGGCTGGATTTGGCCCGCGGGCCTTGAGTTTGACACTCCTGCCTTATAATCATGCCTTTCTACAAATCTGGAAAAAAAAGTTTGTTTTCTTATGGTTGTCTATTGGTTAATTTTCTGGTTGATTTCCATTATCCTCAGAAGAAATGTTAATATCAATGGGAGTTTTCCACAGGAAGATGAGTCTAGATTCTACTCTTTCATACATAGTTTGGCAGTTCAAGTGCCACTAGCTCAAGGTTGACTAAGCCTTCCATCCTTCCAAAGTCAGTAAAATGAAGGCCCAGATAGTTAGGGGCAATATGCTGACTCTGTAAACCGTTTAGAGAGGGCTGTAAACAGGGGTGGGATTCTACCAGTTCGCACCTATTCGCTAGAACCGGTTGTTAACATTCTAAGCAGTTTGGAGAACCAGTTGTTAGAAGAAATTCTAATCCTGTAAGAAAGGCAGGAAGGAAACATTCTGGTGTTGCTTACAGAAACTGCCTCTCCATTAACCCTTATTACATTCTTGGCAGGACTAGACTTCCTGTCTCAGGAACTTCTCTGGAATTTTTTTCCCTTCCTTTGCTGGTACTTTGCTTGTGTGGAGTGACCATTCAAATTACAATGGCACTGAAAAAAGTGACTTATGACCATTTTTAACACTTACGACTGTTGCAGCATCCCCACAGTCATGAGAGGCCAGGCGAGGAGATGCATGCCTTGATGTGAGTGATATTGAGTTGGCCACATCCAGCCAATAACATGACCACCAAGCCATGTTCACCCAGTCATCACCAAGCCACGCCCACCACCTAAGCCATGCCCACAGAACCGGTTGTTAAAAAATTTGAATCCCACCCCGGCTGTAAAGCACTGTGAAGCAGTTTATAAGTCTATGTGCTATTGCTATGTGACAGTGACTTAAAGTCTTAAGTTTCTGCCCCCGTTATCCAATTTTCCTAGTCCATGTTTATAATACAAAAATCTTATCAAGAAGCTGCCCTTAATTAATGGAATGCTGTAAGACAAGGAGAAACAGACTTTTATAATTGGAGTTGGTCACAGTTAACACTTTTCTGAGACCTGAGATTTGCAGTAAATAGTATCATGATAGGCAGAATCATGACACTATAAATGTGGCTATGCTTGTATTTTTTATGATGTATATTTTCTATTTGATTTTTTTTAAAAATAGTGTTATGTCTATTTTATGGCTGATGTTACAATTTTCAGGTGTTTACTGAAAATGACAAAAACTACACTGTCAGTTTTCAGTCATTATGGAAAGAAAGAGCTGGACACATAACAGAGACTTGAGAGCTATGTGAAGTCTTGCAATTGCACATTGCCCTAGGGCACAGTTTTTATGAGAACAACTGCACCAGAAAACATTTTAAATATTGAAATATTAAAAAAATAAATTATGAACTTTCAGATAATATCAATTATTATTACCTGTGGTTTTGAAATAGAGATTATCATCCATCTTGATCAAATCAAGTGATGACAAATCATTCAAATTCTTCAAACATAGTTCTGTCCAAGTTGAAGTGATCATTTTTGACATGCAGGAAAAAAATAATTTTTGCAGATAGAAAAACCACAACATTTATCTATCTTCTGTAAACAGGCAAAACACTGATTTAACTGATTTAAGGCAAGGCAATGATTTAACTGATTTAAGGCAAGCACTTCCATTCCCCACATTCACTCACCCTATTTCTCAGATATAAAATCAATTTCTTAAATATCTATGCAATAGCTATGAACATGTGACCAAACAAGAAAAACAAGTTTACACTTGCCCAGATAAAATAAAGGGGATTCTTTATAAAGGTGAGTTTAAAATCTTAGCCTCACATAAAAGTAGGGAGTTGCGGAGAAGGTTCTTTTCAGATCAACCTTTGTTTGAGTAAAAGCTTTATTTTGGGACAAAGGGAAACAGCATGGTTGAAAGAGATGAAGGAAAGCTCTTCTGGGAAATAGCCAAAAAGGAAGATGCCAGAAGGAGAAGATGTAAGCAAGATAAAAGACTGAAAATGACCACATAGTCCTAATGAGCGAGATCCCAAGAAAAGAACTAAGCAATGTTGAAGTGAGAGGAGCCACAATAGGAGCAGAGCTGAACTTTAGGATTGGAGGTGAAAGTAGATATGGCTTGGAACCTTTTTGGGGACAGAGAAATAGTCTTGCTATATTCAGAAAGGCAGAGATTCTAGGTGAAAGGGAAAGAATTCTGGAGTTGGTGGTAAAAGCAGAGCTATCTCTCTTTGGGCTCAAGGGAAAAAAGGCACTTTATTGTGGTCCAATAATCCCTAAGGATTCCACAAGAGCTAAGAGGAAAAACAAAAGAATTAGCAGAACTAGTACTAGGATGTGAAGCAAACCGAACAAACAAATTTAAGTATCAAGTTAAAGCCTATTTAAATGCACTGTTCTTTGCGTTTTCAAGAAATCTAACCTTGTAATTTTGCTTCAATTCCATTTCTGTCCAGCCCAGCTGAAAACCCTTGGTTAAAAGAATACATTTGATTATTAATGCTTAATTTGTAAAAGAATCATGTGCAGATCTTTTGTTATAGAAACCTATGTGAAGTTTTACAGATTTGTATATTAAGCATACAATTTATTATGGGACACAAAAGGATGCTTAACGAGATTTATAATTTATTTATTAATGTTAACTTTAAAATTGTCGCAGCTTAAACAAAAAACACACACATTATACAATTTGGGTTTTTATTTATTTCATTGTTGTCATCAGCAACCAATTAAAAAATCACTAATTAATTAATTCATTGTAAAATAAGTAATCTAAGAGAAGCATCACTAATAAGTAAATAAATAAATATGGTTCTAATCCTTAGAAGCATGTCATGTTATCTTGCTTTACTTCTGTGCAATTATGTACAAGTTTCTCAAGTACAATTCTCCAGCAAATATATATTACATTCAGTCAAAATTTACTTATTTATTTAAATTTATTGGTCACCCAGTACCAATGGACTCTGGATGACATACAAAACTAGTGTATACATAAAAATATTGAATTACATTGACAGTCCAGATTTAATGGACCTCAAAAACAACAAAACAAAACATGAACAAATAATAAACTTCAGCCTCGGGCCTTGATCCAGATCCAGGTTTTCAATGATTTAAGTTCAATTCCTGGAGCTTACCAAATGATTTTCCCTCCTTGCACAGAGGGGAGCTGATTACAGCTGCAAGAACATTTGAAAGCAAAAGGGCTGCTTGCAGGGAGGATTTCAGCTTTTCATGGAGCTTAAATCATCTCTCCAGGCAACTCTTATTATTCCACTCAGTGACCTAGGAGATCGCTTAAAGATTGCAACCGGGAGAGTTGGGATTGCAGTTGTTGAGCAAAGTAGTCATGTGGGCATCTTGCTTAACCACTTTGCTTAACAACTGAGATTCTGGTTCCAATTGTGTTCATAAATCAAGTGCTACTTCTACTTCCTATCACTCTTCTAGCCCTTGTTTACACATACACATGTACCATCTCTTTTTGTACAATTTCCAACTTCTGGAACAGATTTCCAGCACCTGCTGGTACCTTGCTACACATATTGTTGTCCTTCCAATATAGAAGGAACAATGGATAAGAAGATATAGACACCATACACTATATTTTAGAATGTATCAACCCACAAATTCATGCTATAGTCCATAGGTAGTCAGCTAATGACCTAGATATACCAGAAATTTCAAATTTCCTTTAAAACTGGCTTGTAGGACTAAAGTAACTGCTGCTTGCTGTTCTCACATATAGCAATCTGTCATAGTGCTTCATCTTAGGAATTGACCACCTTCCCCTCAGAGCTCTGAATTTCTCCTTTCCTCCTTTAACGTAAGCATCCTAATTGCACATATAAATGTTTGTCCATTATTCATGAGACAACAAAGGAATCTGTTCTAGCACTAAAAATGGCTTAGAAAATAATATTCAGTTGTCATAGTTCAAAATGCTTTCAGCATCTGACTTTTTCCCTATTTTCTATTTCTATTTTTTAAAATCTCAGCTTATTACAGAAAAAGCAAGATAGCATTCAAACATTAACATTTGTTCCACTGTATTTCTGCTAACAAATACAGACCTTTTTTTAAAAAAAATACTTATTTTTGTGAATATTTTTCCAGTGACTACTACAAAGATTTTATATCTGCTTTCATCTCTCTCTCACTTTCTCTCTTGCTCTTTCTCTCACACATACACACATATATACAAAATCAGTGTGAAAACAGATGTAGTGAAAGGTGCTAAATGTCCTAACTGTTATCATTTAAGGGCATTTCAAGAAAGTAAGTATTTCATTTACCACTTTTTCCCTCCCCCTTTTCTTTCACAGTTCTAAAAAGCAGCTGTTCCACATACAGAGAGATCCTACTGTGCTGAACACTGCAGAATGCCTTATGCTGTGGTGATGACAGCAAGAAGGATCAGTGAAGAAACAGTAACTCTGCCTTTGGGGGAAATAGATCTGCATTCACTTGATATAAAATAGTTTATGAATTTTAATGTTCTCATTTGATTCTCTATAAAAACAAGCCTATTTAGCTGAAAACTTAAAAAAATTATACACTATTCAAGAAAGTGAATCCATCTTCTTCAAAAACAGGCAGCCTAATACTTACTGTTGGAAACAAAATACTATCTGTATCACATTCCAATATGCAACTAACATTTTAATATTTCGAAATGTTGCATAGAAAGAATTATCAGACTTCTACAAAAGAAATTGCAGTATGAAACTGCAATAAATCTGTTAAAAGTTTAAGTAACCTCAAGGCCATCAATGGAACAAGAAGAAATAAGAACTACAGCTGCAATATCCCAAAGACAGACTGATTTTCTATTTCCAAGTTTTCTTGCATAATTTTAACTTTCCATTTTGACTGTGCAAATCCAAGCATGCCATTTATGAGTTTAGTAAAAATTCTAATCTGTAATCCTGGGTAATAATTTATCGAGCACCTTACAGACTATGAGATGGTTGGTAAGCAAAGCGTTCACATAAAGATACAAAAGAGGTTCAGTATTCATAAAAGCTCTTGTCAAATCTAACTGTTTTGAAGATAAGATAAGGAAACTACATAGCTTGACCGGGTTTCAGCCATTTTTCCTAACACTTTTACTAAGTAACTCAATCTCAATAGAGCTGGAAAGGATCTTGGAGGTCTTCTAGCCCAGCGCCCTGCTCAAACAGGAGACCATGTACCATTTGAGACAAGTGACTGTCCAGTCTCTTCTTAAAATCTTCCAGTAATGAAGCACCCACGACTTCTGAAGGCAAGTTGTTCTACTGCTTAACTGTCCTCACTGTTAAGAAATTTCTCCTTAATTCTAGGTTGCTTCTCTCCATTGTTTCTTGTTTTCACCCATTGTTTCTTGTTCTGCCCTGTGACACTTTGGAAAATAAATTGACTCCTTCCTCTTTGGGCAACCTCTCAAATACTGGAATACTGCTATCATATCCCCACTAATCCTTCTTTTCTCTAGACTAGCCAAACCCAAATCCTTCAACCATTCTTCATATGTTTTAGTCTCCAGGTCTTTAATCATCTTAGTTGCTCTTCTTTGCTAACTTTTTCCAAAGTTTCAACATCTTTTATGTAATGAGGTGACCAAAACTGGATGCAGTATTCCAGGTGTGGCCTTACTAAGGCTTTATAAAGGGATACTAATACTTCATGTAATTTTGATTTTCTCCATATTAATTTTGTTGGATAGGGCCCATTGTTCAAGTCTGTCAAGATCTTTTTGGATCCTGAGCTTGTCTTCTGAGGTGTTGGCTATTCCTGTGAGCTTACTGTCATCTGCAAATTTGATGAGTTCCCCTTCTAGACCCTCATCTAAGCCATTTATGAAATATTGAAGAGTACTGGGCCTAAGACAGAACCTTGTGGTACTCCACTGCTTACTTCCATGTAGATGAACGTAGTAGCATTAAGAATTACTCATTGAGTACGGTTTGTCAGCCAGTTACAAATCCATCTGGTGGTGATTCTATCTATCCCACATTTTTCTTATTTATCAAGAAGTGGGTTGTGGTTTACTTAATCAAATACTGAAGTCTAAATACTGGTTTACTTCATCAAATACTGGTTTACTTCATCAAACAATGAAGTCTAAATATACTATATCCACAGCAATTCACTGGTCTATTAATTTAGTCACTTTATCAAAGAATGAAATAAGATTGGTTTCACATGATCTCTTTTTAACAAACCCATACTGGCTACTTGTTATAACTTTATTTGTTTCTAGATGTTCACATATATGGTTTTTGATTATTTTTTCCAGTATCTTCCAGGTATTGGTGTTAGACTGATTGTTCTGTAGTTTCCTGGGTCGGTTTCAATGGTGGGATTCAAAAGTTTTTACTACCGGTTCCGTGGGCATGGCTAGGTGGGCATGGCTTCTTCTTTTTTTGCAGCACACCCCCCACCCCCATTTTTGGGGGCCTTCATGGCCTCAGGGGAGCCTCTGGGGGGCATTTTTGCTCCCAAAAGGCTCCCCTGGAATTCAGGAAAAAAAATTAGAGCATAGGAGACTCACACAGCACCCCTCCACACTCCATTTTGGGGCCTTTCTGGCTTCAGGGGAGCCTATGGGGGGGTTGCTTACAGAAGGCTCCATTGGGGCTCAGGAAAAAAAAACAGAGCATAGGAAGGGCACACAGCGCTCCTCCATGCTCCATTTTGGGGCCATCCTGGCCTCAGAGGAGCCTCTAGTGGGGGCATTTTTGCTCCCAGGAAGCTTCCCTGGGACTCAGGAAAGCCTCCTGAGCGAAGCAGTAAGAAGCGAGGGGAATCCCAATTGTCGGAAGGTTAAAAAAAAAAGGAAATACCTTAAGGAGTGACTGGGTAGGCAAGCATCGGGTAGACAGGGTGAGCGGGCATCGGGCATTGGGTGGGTGGGGCAAGCGAGTGAGCGGCGACCAGGTTGGAGGCGTGGTCAGCCAGAAGTTACTACTGGTTCGGCAACCCATGCCAAATCCTCGCTACCAGTTCGTCTGAATCAGTACAAACTGGCTGAATACCACCACTGGTCTGTTCCCACCCCCATTTTCATTTGAAGATGGGAATTACATCAGCTCTTTTCCCATCTTCTGATAATTACCCAATGCTCCAAGATATTTTAAAGATATGATACAATGGTTCTGAGATAACATCTGCCAGCTCCTTCAGAAATCTGGGATGTAATCCATCGGGTCCAGGTGATTTATATTCATCAGGGTCAGACAGGTATTCTCTTGCCATTTTCTTGCTTATTTTAATTTTTAGTCTGTCTTTTGGTAAATTGGGCTATAGCTTCTTTTTTATGAAGACTGATGCAAAGAATGAGTTAAGCAGCTCTGCTTTCTCTCCACTGCTCGTTACTTCCTTGCCATATTCTCTCTTTAGTGGGCCGACTGTTTCCTTGACTTTTTTCTTGTTATTTATACATTGAAAGAAACTTTTTATTATCTTTGACTTTTGCTTCAAGTCTTTGTTCATTGTGAACTTTTGCTTTCCTGACTTCATCTTTTCAGATTCCTAATCAACCATCTGCTGATATTCTTCCTTGGTTATGTGTCCCTCTTTCCATTTTTTGTACTTATCCTTTTTGCTTTCAGTTTATCAGAGAGATCTTTGTGCAACCATGCTGGTTTTTTCTTGGATTTCTTGTTTTTTTGTGGTATGGTGTTGTGTTGGGCTTTTATGATCATATTTTTCAATGTTTCCCATGCTTCTTGAGTTGTTTTCCCCTTTAGGATTTTTATCCATGAAATTTTGCTTAGGCTCTCTCTTAGTTTGTTAAAATCAGCTCTTTTAAAGTTTAAGACACTGGTTGGATTATATTCTATTGCTTGTGTTTGCATTTATATTGAATTCTGGTATGATGTGGTCACTCTCACCCAAGGTTCCAGCAACTTCAACTCCCTCTATCATTTCTTCTCTATTAGTAAGAATTAGATCCAGTATAGTTTTACCTCTAGTTTCCTCCTTTACCTTTTGAATGACAAAGTTGCCAGCTAAGTTGGTTAGGAATCTGTTTGATCCCACTTGCTGCAGAGTTTGTATATTTTCATCTGTGTAACAAAATAACAGGTAGTATCTATGTATGTGTATATATATATGGTATTCAGCTTTGTTTGGGTATTTTCCCATGTTATTATAGTTGTGCTTTTAAAGTTATAGCAACGTTTCGGCAGAATCTCATCTGCCATCATCAGGCTTCTGTATAGTGTTCGTCTGTGAGTCAGATTTTCACAGCCATTTCTGTTTTAAATTTGGTGCTAGCCTACTGCTGTGCCAGAATGGTTTTTTCTTCATCCTGATTGGTTGGGAGTCTTGGTCTGTGTTTATTGGTCTTGGAGTTTGCTGTGTTCTGCTTGATTTGTGTTTCTGATATCTTCTGTCTGTTTTGTAGCTTTTTTTGTCTTGATTGGCTGGCAACATTGTGTTTCCTGTAATGGAGGCTTTTAGTGCGGCCTGGCTCTGAGTAAACAGACGGCTATTGTTTATTAGGAAGCTAGGTTTCATCTGGGTGCCTGGTTGGGGTGTGTTATATATATATCTAACGAACACAATATAGAAGCCTGATGATAGCAGATGAAATTCTGCTGAAACGTTGCTACAACTTTAAAAGCACAACTATAATGACGTGGGAAAATACTCTTTGTTCTCGGTCATATAATTAAGAAGAGTGAGAGAGGAAAATTTAAAATTGAGGTGCTAAATTATCACCCAGCTGAATCTCCCGTTGAGATGGACTGGGGGACTTTTTTCTGGAAAGTTTTTCTTAGTTCCCAGCTTGCTCCAGTTAATTTTCAAATTTGCTTTTGTTAATTTGATTGCATTTTGGGTGCTTGGCAACTGGCTCACTTTGTGCCATTTTGCAGCATCCCATGATCATATGAGCATGATTTTTTACATTGTTTGCTAGTTTCCAGTGTTCACTTCTGGTTTCCAGCAAAAAAAACACCCATTGGGTATAATGGATTTAACTAACGACTATGCTGTTCACTTAATGATCATGGCATTTGCTTAATTACCCCACAAAAAATATTGTTCTGTATTCCTGTAAGCAGGAAAAGACAGATGAACATAAGCAATAAGAAACTACATATCCTGATTGCCTAGATCTCTACTGAAAAAGGAAATGCATAAGAAATACCATTAATGTTTTGAGTAAATTATTTGCCAACAGAAAACTGTTTTATCATAAGAAACAAATTACCACATCACATTTTAATTGTCTACTTCAATTCACAAATTTTAAGTGCCACCTACCATAATAGGCTGGATTCTTCAAAGCTCTGATATAGAGGAAAGTTGATCTCACCCATTCTAAAGCTATGTTCACATCAGTGATGGTGTGAAGCACTATTTCAGCATTTAAGTGCTCAATTAGATGTTTGTGCAAACTAATATAAAGAGAGAGAGAAAAGGAAAAAAATAAGATACAAATTACATGCATAAAATATATATTATTACCAACACAATTTATTCTTAAATAGAGAACTAGTGATTTGTGATCTAGTGCTGAACCCCTAAAATATAAATATTTAAAACAATAATACATTTAATTAAGTAATAGTTAAATATTAAGATATAAGTAGTTGGTTTCATTTCTTACTGGGAGAGCTTAAAGACATTTTTATGTAATTCAAACTAAATGCACAGGTACAGGATAAGCAGTTCCTGGCTCAATAATAGTATCTATGAAAGTGTCTTGGTGGACCACTGCTTGTGGGTCAGCAGTTTGATTGCTGCTGCCAAAAAGGCGGATGCAGTTCTAGGCTGCATTAGCAGAAGGATAGCATCAGGAACATGGGAGCAGCTCAAGGTTGACTCAGCTTTCCATCCTTTCAAGGTCAGTAAAATGAGGGCCCAGATTGTTGAGGGCAATATGCTGACTCTGTAAACTGCTTAGAGAGGACCGTAAAGCACTGTGAAGTGGTATTTAAGTCTAAGTGCTAAGTTACCACAATACAAAAAGAGAAGCTGAGGCCCTAGTGTGCAGAGAAGAACAACAAAAATGATAAGGGATCTGGAGGCTAAATCACACAATGAATGGCTAAGGGAACAGTATGTTAGGCCTAATGAAGAGAAGGCTTGAGGGTGACATGATAGCAATCATCCAATACTGTCTTTCTATTGGGAATCAGTATAAAGACTATATAAATACACCGGCTAAGATTGGACTTAAGCATAGTGCATAAAATCATATGTTACAATGTCTTACAGGTTAATGAATATTTCAGCTTTAACCACAACAACACAAGAGCACACAACAGATATAAACTAAATGTAAACCACTTCTAACTTGATTGCAGGAAGTACAATTTCAGCAACAGAATGGTCAATGTCTGGAACTCACTACCTGATTCTTTTGTCACATGCTCAAACCCCTACTCCTTTACCCTCAAACTAACCTCTATTGACCTCACCCCATTCCTAAGAGGTCTGTAAAGGACATGCACAATCGTGCCTACTGTCCCTGTGCTATTGTCCCCAATTATTAGTTCCTATTTCATGTATTTAAACTTATGTTTATTCTTATTTCTATTATATTGTAAGCGTTTGACTAAATAAATAAATAAACAAATAAATAAATTGCATTAACTATCTAGGCCTTGCTGTTCAGCAGTTGCAGAAGTGATATATAGACCCTCTCAGAGTATACATGGTCCACCTACCTTTAAGGTCAAAGCAGAGATATACAGATGTTACATTTTGTGATGCCCCCAATGTTCAGAGTGGTCTGGTTTCCTTGTCTTTCATGTACCAGGTTTTATATGATTTTACATGATTATGAAGTGCAGGGCTGTCAAACTCATGGCCCACAGGCCAGATATGTCATGCACTGACCATGCCCAGTTTAGCAAAGTGGGGGAAAGTTGCAATACATCACATGACACCGCCATGACACCGTGAGTTTGACACCCCTGATGTAGTTAGTGGCTTGGATTCAGTTTCAAATTCCTTCACATTTCATAAGTAGAACAATAAAGAATTTGAACATCACCATTTTTAGCAGCTAGTGCTGATTTTTCCAACACACAGCAGCAAAATAACCTTAAAATGCAATTTTAGAGATATGCAGAAATACCTGCTTCCATACTTAGCTTGCTTTTGTTGGAATTTGGGTTTAAAGAGCATGTTAAACTATGTCAGTTTTATGATACATTTTAAAATGTGGCTAGCTATTATTTTTCTGGGCAGAGCTCCAGAAGTCACTCAAAATACAATAAAATGACAATCTAAGCATATATTAGGCATGGAAGCTGGCTTGGGTCAGTCACTTTTGCTTTCAATCCAACCCACTTCAAAGTTTTTGTAGGGAAAATAGGAGGCAGGAGTATTAATTATGTTCACCACTTCGATGCATGTATGTATGTATGTATGTGTATGTATGTGTGTATATATATATATATATATACATGTTCATGTACATGTATACTTATAAAAGATGGAATAAAAATGTGATAATAATGATGATCAAGTTCAGATTATATACTATGGGAAAACTGTGTAATCTCAAAGTATCTCAATTTTGAATTGAAAGTAACCGTAAGAGATTCCAAATTGAATCTGAATAACAGGACTAAGGGAAGAAGCCCTTTCCCCAGATAAATCCAATATTTTCTCATTCCCAAAGCTCCTTTCAAAATGCTTAAGAGAAAATGAAAATAAATAAAGAATCATATGTATTTTCTTATTCTAATTCTCATATTACTGCTATTGTACTACAGATGGTTGCATATGTAGGATTTCAACATACATTTGTTCCTCTTATATTCAGATTGTTACAGTAAACATTCAGTGAAAATACTGTGTAGTCTGTTTGCCTTATGGCTTACTATTCTGGTTCATGCTTGAAAGACAAAGATTTTCTAAAGTTTTTTTCCCCTCGTAGGCCTATCTTCATGATCCTAGAGAAACATTTCTTAGCAATAATCAAACAAATAGGACAGCATTTCTAGTTACATACTAAAAACCATTTAAGTTACCTGCTTTCTATTGTATCTGCACCATTTAACATATGAACATACTTGTCTCTTGTACTTAGCCTTGTCATGATAACTGCTGTTGCTGTTGTATCAAACTGTGGAAAAATATATATACAATACACCTTCAAGTATAGTAGAAAGTAAACAAACTGAAGTATTTGGGATTTGTACTTCTGAAGGCTTTAGGAATATTATTGTTGTGTTAATATTATTATTGTGTTAATTCAAGACATCCCCCATGTCTTTTATTTGCTATTGAAAATACCAAAAGGGAATTTCCAAAAAGTACTTTTACTTTAATTCAATTAAAAAAACACTTTACAAAGATAATGAGCAGGAATTATGTTTCACCCTCTATTAAAATATTATAAATAAGTATAAAAACAGGGGTCTCATTTAAGAGATGATCAATAAGGAGCATGAGCTGAACACTGCTCTAACAATTTTTTCATAAATTCATAGAATGAACATTAAAATATCAAGTTTTGGTTCTGTCTAGGAATAGAATTTATATGAAAGTTGCGCAAAATGGTACAATTGCCATCATTATGCTTCATATACATTTTTTCTTGCAGCCTTGCTTATCAGTTGCAAAAGTTAAAAAATAAAATTAGAACATTCTAGCTAGTGCTAACAACAAGCAATATGGACTGCTGATACTTTTATGAAAATTCTTTTTTTCCTATTGATGTTCTACAGATTATTCTTAATTCAGAAACATTTAATCTTCAATTTTAAACCCTGGTAACAACTATACATTTTCTCATAAACATAGTTATATTAATTATTCAACAATAGCTCTAGTGTGGTAATAAAAACTTTGACAATAAAATGGGCAGACATTCATTTACAACAAAATTAATATATCAAATGTGAGAGACAGTTTGGTGTAGTAGTTAAGGCATTAGGTTAGAAACAATGAGACTGTGATTTCTAATTCTGCCTTGGATACAAAGCCTGCTGTGTGACCTTGGTCCAGTCATACCCTCTCTGCCCTTTGAAGCAGGCAGTTGCACACCAATTCTGAAAGCTTGCCAAGAAAACTTCAGGGATTGATCCAGGCAGTTGCTAAGAGTTAGCAATGACTCCAAGGGACACATACACAAAATAAAACATATTAGTGCCAACTTTTACTAATTCCATATTTAACTTGCTTTAAGATAAATTCATCTTACCTGAGGTCTTCCTGCTCTCCCAATCATTTGCAAAATATCAGTTTCACTATACTCTTGAAACATTCCTCCAGCATAATGCATAGTTGATTTTATAACTACCAGGTGTGCTGGTAAATTTACTCCCATGGCAAGTGTACTAGTAGTAACTGTAAAAATGAAATATTGAACTTGTTACAAGAGATTAGTTTTTAAAAAATTGTGGATATAACTATATTTTTGTAATATACTAGACTTTCTTCCTTTCGACACAATGAAGTGAGAAAAAAAGTTTGAATGAGTATTCGTCATTCAATTCTCCATCTTATAACATTGTATATTATATTTTGTTGACAAACCCCTATTATTTCAATCAAGTATACTCAAATATTATATCAAGTTGTAGCAAGACATTTCATTTTGCATATATCATATGCAACAACTGTGTAAGTACAGTACACTAGTTTACCAGTGACACATACATCTAAAAGGCTAGAAAGTGGAGATATATGTAGCTCAGGATTAAAATTTTGAGATATTGCTGTTTGCTGATCTTGGTTTCTTCTTCCAATGTTTCATTACTGAATTAACTAATATAATCAGGGCTCTGAACAAGGCAGTTTACACATATAAAATTTAACAAACACCACTTGTTTGTGTCAAAACACTGATAATGTTACTAGTTTGGTAATGAAATATGATATCTATAAGTAGTTAGTTAGCAAAACTAAAATTCAGAAAATCTGCAACAAAATAGGAAGTGTGATCCAAGCCCTCTTCATGTCCATAACCATTTACTTTTCCATGCTGTGCTGCCTTTGCATTTAGATAATTCTGAATAGCAATTTTTAAAAAAATATTTATTAATTTACTAACTGGCCCTTTCAGAAATCCAGAGACCCAGAGTTTTCCAACTTTGGACTTTTATAGTTATAATAAAAATTAAATCTAACAGCACATAAAAATGAAATAAAAGTGCAAAAAACAGAATACCTCATCAAGATATTTAATTTCAATATTATTAAGTGAAAAAGAGGCAAACATTCTGTCCCCATACCACATTTATAAACTATCATGATAAATTCGAATTTTACAACTTAAGGTTTTTAAAGATTATCTCAGTTTAAAAAAATGAACTCCAATCTCAAATTGGTCTACTTTAGATATACTATGTGAAAATCTAGCTGTTTGGAGAAAACTTTAATGCTGGGGAAAATGGAAGGAAGAAGAAGATGACCAGCATCAAAATGGTTACAGTAGTGAGGAGTGCATTGTTGGGAGAGCTGAAAGGAACAGATTGTTATGAAGAAATTCTACTCATGTGGTTGCTGACAGTCAACATTGATATGACAGCACATAATCAATCAATCAATTAACAAATCAATTAACTTTTTTAAGAAATAAAGTATCAAAATTATTTTTATTCTGAAATGCCTTGTACTCACAAAGAACTGGTATGTCTCCCATATTAAAAGCTGCTTCAATTATTTTTCTATCAGACATTTCTACTCCAGCATGATGATAAGCAACTCCACAAATTAGGAGATCTACAAATGAAATTCAAACTTGAAATATTGATTGTTTTCCCTTTATACATAAATAATTATTATAGTTTCTCCAATTAGCATAACATACATACCCTTTAGCTTGGCTTCTTTTATTATATTTGCAGATCTTTGTAATCTTAAAGGAGAGAACAAGAAAATATGGCAGTTTCAATAAGTCATTAAATAAGTACAAAAAAGTAATAGTTTTTTTAAAAAAGATCACACTGTTTGATTTCATCATGGTAAACTTCAAATTGGACTGGGATGAAAAATAGGAGAACCTCATTTATTACCTGATAAGACTAAAATAATTTCACTTGTTTCATGACAGTAATAAATAAACGTTTTTAGTTCAGAAAAGGCTACAAATAAAATTTCCATTTTTAACTCATTACAAATTGTTCTCACACCAACTTCTTCATTCTTCAATGAATACATAGTTTCTCACGAGGCTTGGAGACCTGGCTGTGCAATAGAACGTATACAATGGTTTCATTGAGTGTTGTTGGCTTTTTGTATACCCTGGTTGTGAATTGTGTTATGTAAATATTATATGGTTTTATATTATTTTATATTTTATACTGTATTCTTTTTTGTTTTACTTTTAATTGTAAGTCACCCAAAACCATCTAATTGAGATGGGCAACTATAAAATTGAAATAAATAAATTCAATACTTTTTACTGTAATGATACAGAGAAATATTTATATGGAGTATGCAATTAAAGCAGTAAAATTACTGCTTCAAGAAATTGACTGCAAATCAATGAAGTGTATTTTAAGGAATTGGGGGAGGGCCTGGAAAAATAATGAAAATATTCAGCACTAATGCTTTAATTGTTGGTATCTGACAATTTTAAAACACAGAGAGACTTATCTTAGATATTCCAAAAGCAATTACTTTACAAAAGGATGAATTCAATTACCTCATAAGTATGTGGTCTGATGCTATTAATTTGCATTCCCTGAAATAGTCCTATTCTACAACGAGTAGAGGAGTGGAGAACTCTTCTTGTGAAATAGAGTTCTCCACTCCTCTACTCGTTGTAGAATACCTTATGCCACCAGACTTGAAATTCTAGA